AGAATTGGCGTAGTATGCTGCAGGCTACTTGCCTTCTCTCTGGTCAACAGTTCAAAATTAGTGACCATTGTAAATTTGACACTCTCTCAGATGTTATTATCTTCTAAAGTTATACTGCGTAGTGTTTAATGCGTTTTCAGTGGTCAAAAAACGTGTCAAGAAGAGTGGGGGAAAAGACATAGAAAATTAGTTCTACGACTGTAGTTCAAACCATCAGCTAGCGTTCCTTTGTTCCCTAAGTAAGGCATACTATATAATGTATTTATTGTTACTTTCATTAACAGCAACCTTGCGCTACCAAAAAAATATTCTGCGTACTTTAAACTGTGGGTGCGGTGCAAGAGTGGGTGGTAGGGTACTGCTAACTGGCTTCATTCTAGTCATTAGATCAAAACTAAGGACAACGGCAAATAGCCTTAGTAGCTTTGCTGTAAATACTAAATTCAACCGAGTTACCTTATTAAACTTTTTCTTTTCTGATTATAATAAAATTTCAGGGAGATTCTAAACGTTATTGTTTATGAATTTTGTGTATTAGTTAATATTAACTTCGGATCAGCTAGGCACTTAGATCAAAACTAACTTGGCAACCTGTTTAGCTAATTAAATATATTTTTCTTACGTTTCTACGTATAAAGATTAGAATGCATTATTTTATTAGTTGGGCACCTTCACTGCTAACGATATTTTCGGCCTTAATCCCAATAATATATATCATGAGTTTCGAGTAGCTTAGGAAATTTAGGTTAGTACTAAATACCCATATTAAGCTAACAATGCAAAACCATCTCTATACTAAACTTATATTAATAAAAAATAAAATTGAAAAATAATAACAATTTCTATGTTAAACATTATAACCAAATTCGAACCCGGGTTGCTAGTTCCGAGATCCAAAGTTCTATAACAGGCTCTACTCACAATGTAGAATAATGTGAATGCCTAACTGTAATCAGATTATTATTTCTCAATCAGCATTGCAGTGGGGAAAACAAGAAAGTTTTTAAGTGCTGAAAATATGTGTTCGGGTTTCTTTGTAACAATATTAAACCACTTGGAATGAATTTACGTAAATAAACACATGAAAACACAAAGTTCGTGAATTTCTATTTGATCCCATTTTAGGTAGCCGATTTTGTAAAATAAGTGACTAATTACATGAAAGCACGAAAGCAAATTTAAAACTGTTGACTCCCAATCGTTTCTTCCTTTAGGTTAATTGTACGGCCATGGATATAACATGGCATCCCAGCTGATCTTCTGTAGTGATGGTTTCTAGAATCTGTGTAACAAATAACAGTGTACAGAAACGGTAAGGTTCCTTTAATAATGTCATATTTTACTTGAAAAAACACAAATGTGAATTGGAATTCTAATCCATATTTTTAATTTCTTGGTAAAATGTTGAATCTGCTACAGACTAGAACGAAGTAAGATTATTGTTTCAATGTTTCACGATTAGTTTACATTCATATTCCTAAGGGTGACAGGAGTTGTTTACATAATCGTTGTTTATGTTTAATAATCTATTTTTTTTGTAGTTCCTAACCTATTCAGATTAATTAGAAGAAACTAGGTCACTTTTTGAGCATTGGCATTTTCAACCTGAACCTATCTTCTGCGCACGTGGATTAAATGATCAGATCAGAGACTCCTAGGTTTCCAAAATAGCCATTTCTAACTTTGAACGACTGACCAGAGTGAGGAAATCTGTATCCACAAGAGTTTTGTCCCGCTCCTGGAACAGATTAACAGGATTTACTGCTACTCTTATAACGTCTCCACGGCTGAAAGTGGGAATATGATCAGCAGTATGCGATTCGAATTTTGAACCTTGCAGTACGCAGGCTGAAAGTTAACCTTTAGGTCATATCCGACTCGCGTTGTGGGCAATAAAATTGAATTCGAAAACAGACTGAATTTTTTTAAACTCATATTGTACTGCCCATAAGACACAGTCAGTTAGAGTCAAGAGTTTCAAGTTAAACAAAGAGAGGGAAAGTCACTTGTGTGTATTATCTGACCAGTATAATATAAAATTATAAGCAAACGTTAAGACCTTTGATTAATTTGGTGGAACACGAAGTCAGATAATGAATAGTAGAGCCACGGTAACAATTCTTAACACCTTTAATGAACATTTCAGAAGAACACATATTCCATCTTCAGCAAATCTATGAAAATAACGAACTGAACAATCTGTAGTATAATTACTAATATAAAAATACAATGAATAGTGTTAGGAAATTATAAGACATTCCATTGAAAAAAAAGGGGAATATGTGTAATTCCGAAACGTTAAGACCTTTGATTCATTTAGTGGAAAA